AAAAACCTAACAAAGAAAGTTTTTTGTTTAAATCATTGTTGTCTCATATTTTCATTGTTTGTTTTCCTTTAAACATGTATGCATTTTGTTATTACTGCTGGTAACAGCATCCTTCTCTTCCTCCTTTACTGACGTGTCCTGTCACATGATGTGACTTTATTTTCATTGAAATTTGCCAAACGAAATTTTATGAAAATATACAATAGATGTAGGAAAATATTGTTAATTAAACGTTCAGAAACAGATAGATGAATGTTTTACTAAAAGAAACGAATTTTAATTAATTTAGAGAAATTAATTTCGAAGAAATTAAAGGAATTTGGTGATAAAGTTGCAAGATATTGTCTCAAATTTTTTAAAAGAAAATTTCGTTTCAAATAATCTACAGAAAATTGTCGATATTTCTTAGAAAAAAGTTCAGACTTTTCTTAAAATTTCTATAGAAAATTGTCCTCTAGATATTGATTCAAATTTTATATAATTTGTCCCAAAATTTCTAAAGAAAATCAGTTTTTGTCGCAAATTTTCCGTAGAAAATTGTCCAGACTTTGTCTCTAATTTTCCAAAGAAAATTGTCCAGACTTTTTCCCAAAATTTCAAAAGAGAATTGTCTAGATTTTGTTCCAGATTTTTCATAGAAAATTTTCTAGACTTTGTCTCAAATTTTCTATAGAAAGTGTCTATACTTTGTCCCATATTTTTTGAAGAAAATTCTTTAGACTTTGTCTCAAATTTTTGTATAAAACATTGTCTAAACTTTGTGCCAAATTTTCTATAGATTAAAATTTTTACAGAAAGTCGTCCAGACCTTGTTTCAAACTTTGTCTCAAATTTTCTATAGAAAATTGTCCAGACTTTGTGTCAAATTTTTTATAGAAAATTGTCGAGACTTTGTCTCATATTTTCTATAGAAAATTGTCTAGACTTTGTCTCAAATTTTCTAAAGAAAATTGTCTCAAGTTTTCTATAGAAAATTGTCCAGACTTTGTCTCAAGTGTTCTATAGAAAATTGTCCAGACTTTGTGCCAAATTTTTGAGACTTTGTCTCAAATTTTCTATAGAAAATTGTCCAGACTTTGTCTCAAGTTTTCTATAGAAAATTGTCCAGACTTTGTGTAAAATTTTTCATAAAAAAATGTCAAACTTTGTCTCAAGTTTTCTATAGAAAATTGTCCTGACTTTGTTTTAAGTTTTCTATAGAAAATTGTCCAGACTTTGTCTCAAGTGTTCTATAGAAAATTGTTCAGACATTGTCTCAAATTTTCCATAGAAAATGGGCCAGATTTTTCATTTTTTATAGAGAATTGTCCAAACTTTGTCTCAAATTTTCTATAGAAAACTGTCCAGATTTTGTCTCAAATTTTCTATAGAAAACTGTCCATACTTTGTCTCAAATTTTCTAAAGAAAATTGTCCAGATTTTGTCTAAAATTTTCTAAAGAAAATTGTCCAGACTTATTTTTCTATAGAAAATTGTCAACACTTTGTTTCAAAATTTCTATAGAAAGTTGTCCAGATTTTTTTTGCATTAAATTTTCTATAGAAAATTTACGAAACTTTACGAAACTACTTTGCCTTTGATGTTAAATTTCTATTTTGTTTTGCCCTAAGATATGCTTTCATTTAACAATTTACTTTGTCGCCTTAATGTATGCTTTAATTTTAATTTCTTTCTATGCATGTGTTAACTTTTTTTCAAATGTAACTTTTGTGTTTATATTAAAAAAAAAATGTTTCATTTGTTAGTAAAATGTATTCAAGTGTTTATTACAAAACTTTCTTAATTTCCTTAGAGAAACAACTCATTATCATCAATAAACAACAAAAAGCAACAATATTAATTAAAATTCAGACTTTTTTGATATAAATATTTTCAAACATTAACATTTCATTAATAAAGCTTTAGATTTTTTTGTTGCTTTTTAAAAAAGAAATTAAAATTAAAAAGTTTCTTGCTAAAAAAACTGAATAAATTAACAGTTTAGAAGAAAACTTTTAAACTAAATATTTGAAAAATAATATAAAACAACAATTTCATATCCAAAATTTGGGACTGAATGTACTGAAGATAACAAATAGAAAAAAAAAATAATTTATAAATAATTACTAAATAAATAATTTATTTAAATAAAAACAAATAAATTAAATTTTTTAGTAGATTACTTTGAAAGAATCATTTATATTATTGAATGTGTGTGTGTAAAGAGTGGATTAAATAATTTAAAAAACTAAAAATAATATTGTAAACTTATTAATTTATAAAAAAAAACTGTATAAGATTTTTTCTAGAAACATTAAGTGTAATTAAGTGTGTTAAAAAAAACTTTGTAAAAGCTTTCAAGTCAAAATAATTGAAAAAAAAAACTAAAATTTAAGTGTAAATGTTAAACTAACTAAGTTGAAAAAAAAAAAAAACACAAACTTGTTAAACTAAAGAAAAATGAGAAGAAGGAATTTAAAAAGGAAACTTAAACCAAAAGAAAATGTGTTTATATTGAGTCCTTTTTTATAGGATTTATTCAGCAAAGTAAGATTTTCGAAAATTATCTTTGAAAAACAAGACTTATAAATTTCCTTAAAATTCATTAATTTCCTTTATAAACACTAGCCTAGTTTAAGGAAAATATACAATTCTAACAAAATCAAGTTTGAACATGTTTTATCATGAAATCTCATAAGAAACACTTGAGATTTATAAAAAAAAGTAGCCTTGAAGAAACTTTATGAAAATCATAATTAGTTTGTAAAAAAATTTAAAAAAAATATATAATTAATAAAACAAACAAACAAAAAAAAAAAAAACACAATAAAATAAATACTGAACCAATTAGCCCCCAAAAGTAAAACAAACAAAAAACAACTACAAATTGGACCAAAATATTTAAAAAATTAACAAAAAACTAAAAATATCAATAAATTTAAAATTAATTATTAAAAAAAAATACCTAGAGAAAAAAACAGCAAACTAAAACTTTCCCTTACATTTCATTATTTCAAATTAAAACCGAAATTTTCCCTGCAGCTAAAACCCCAAAAATAAATTTAATTAAATGGAATTGGTTACTGCAAAACTTGAAATAATGAAATTTCTAACAAATATTTATAGTTTCTATAATTTCAAAAAAAAAATATGAAAATCATTGTAAAATTATTTGTCGTAAAATAAAACTTGTATTGTGTAAAATATATAACAAAAATAATAAATTAATAATAAAAATCTATTAAATATAAAAGTAAATAAATAAAAAATAGCTTTAAACGTAATCTTAAATGTGTTTTTTTATTTTAATAACCCAGGATAACCAGTGGGCCTTGCTACTCCCCTAATGCTAGTCCGCCTACTTTTTGTCCTAAATAATCATACTGACACTAAAGTGGCTCCGACAAAATTTGAGGACTCTAACTGTTATATTATCTCAAATATACGGATTTAATATTTTCTTAATATGGGCGTGGCTCCCCGCCCACTTGGAATTTCAAAATAAAAAGTAGCCCATTACCTATTCCAGACATGCAGGAATACACTGTGAAAATTTGAAGAAAATCGTTCAAACATACAAACATGTAAACATACAAACAAACACAAATTCATTGTTACATATATATAGATAGAAGATAGATGATAGAAAGATGCCACGCCCACTCTTTCTTGGCGCCGACATTATTTTAGTATTTAGCACACATGACAAGTGCCATTCCTATTATTGATAGTACACAAATTTTTCCGCAACTGGTTACATGAATGTTAAATTTATAAGAGGTATGTAACATAAAGAACAATTTCACTCGGAGACCGTCTTGGTCCATTGAGGTTACCTTTAGTATAATTAGAGGAAAAATAAGTAAAATGAAAGATAGATAGGGACTTTGTTCAAAAAGACACATTCTAATACCTGAATAACAACAGATCGAAATCATGAAGAATCAGAAGTAAAAAAGAAGATTTGATACCTCGCTACAGTCAAACAATTTAAAATATGGCTTATTCCCCTGATAAAACTTTAAAGAATGCATGGGTTCTTCTTAGTTTGTCTTTAGAAATATTTCCCAGCCAATTTTCTCTGAGATTCCTATATTCTATAAATTATATATCTAATCGACTCTCGCTCTTATTCATCTTGCATAACCTGCACAAGTCTTTTATTGTCCCTTTTTTAAGTAACAGCTCTTAATGAACAATGACTAGAAACCCCTATAAGTATTTCTATCCAATTTATCCATTAAACATCTTTATTGTTTTTTACTTTTAGTCTTGGGACTTTCACTGTCACTGAATATTTCATAAATAGTTCTGTAGTAATGACATAATTGATGGTTTTACACTCTGTTACTTCTATTTAGGTTTAGATCTGATGTTTGTCTTGGTCCGCCACCTTGCTACGACACAGGTCTGGGAGTCTAAAGATCTTCCGTATATCATTATCAACAATATAAACATCAATACCAGTATCCATCTTGGATCTGTCAATAAATGCGGCAAACCCCACAAACAATAAAAATTTCCATCAACGGAAATTTTATTGGAGCGGTCTTCCCGAAAGTCGTAATTCTATGATCTGAAATTCCTCTGGGAATATTATCCTGAACAAGAAGACCTACTTCGTACAAAATTTTTGTTTGATCGTCCCGCAAAAGTTTAACTAACGAAGACGCATGAAGTTTTAGTAAGTACCTAGCTGCAACACTTTCTACATAGTGTTCAATAGAGGACAGATATAGTTGGATATCATGTGATACCCACCTTTGAGCTTTGTTGAGTATCTTGCCTATTTTCAATACCAAACATTTTTGATCAACAAAGAGTATTGCAACCACCTTGGTATCCCCATTCGGGAGCCATCGTTACAACAATGTCAAATATTGGTCCACATCATATGTTTTTTAAACCTACCTATACCTGGAAATTCGGGGATTTCTCTTTATACTTCTGAAACTTTTTATAAGTAGGTTTTGAAAAATGTATTTACTTTGACAACTAAGTAGAATGATTTTACAAAAACATTTGCCAATATCTTAATAGATTTAGGGTTAATACCCCTATTATTATAAAGTACTTAAATCGTTATCAGTATGTTTAGTCATCTATCTAATGACAATCATTACAAAAAAAGTCATATCTTATCGTTTAAATTATAATGTGTAATCTAAAATATACAATCATTTACATTAAAAAGAATTTTACATTTAATTTTTCTTATGCCTATCATGTTAGACCTCAGACCTTCCAATTCTTAAAATTATAAACTAATATCCACATAGGTTGCCTCAATAATCCAAATCGGTAAATTTAAATTTTAAGGGAATATTGGGAACACTTATAAGCAGACTTTTAAAGGCATTTTCCGTGGGATAATTAAACTCAATCTGATAGTTACGCACCATACGAGCAATACCCAATTCTAGTTCCATTTCAACAATACGACGGCCAATGCAACTACGAGCCCCAAAACCGAAAGGTAAATGCAAGAAGGGAGTACTAGGCTTTAAGGAATGAGGGCACGCTGTACTATCATTGGTTTCTTTGTCGGATCTCAGCCAACGTTCGGGTAAATATTCATTAGGACGAGGATAATGATTAGCATCACGAGTCAAAGAGGTTGCGCACATAGACACTTGTGTACCCTTAGGTACCCGATAGCCACTAACTACCACATCTTCAACGGGCACACGGGCATTACCAACGATCAAGGGATAATAACGAAGAGATTCTTTAATACAGGCTCTCAAATAGGGCATATTTTTAATACTATTCTCATTAAACTCAGAGTCCTTGTGGGGTAAAACTTTCAATACCTCTTCGCGTAGTTTCTGCTGTTTCTCGGGATTTTTAGCCATACACAACAGCAAACCGGTAAATGTCGAAGAAGTCTAAAAAAATTAGAAACAATTTTGTAGAAAACTATAAAAATTATAATTATTTTTGTAAAATAATTACCGTATCCACTCCCGCCATTAACATGTCCATGGCCATTACTATGGCTATTCTCTTATCGATTTTAACTAGCTTTTCCAAAACACTTTTTTCATTTTCTGGCTTTTCGGGCACTCCATTCTTATCCTCTCCATCCTCTTCGATGCGTTCAATAGCCTCATTAACATACGAACTCGTGATATCGACAATTTTATCTAAAGCTGCCATTAGTTTCTTAAATGTTGGTGTTTTATAATATCTCCAGATGGAGGGTTTAAATTCCACTTCCACCGAATACGTAAAGAAGTCATTTAAGGCCTGAAATAGTTCTTTAGCAGCAGGATTATCGCGATTTTTAGTTATCAAACCCAATTGTTTGTCTAGAGCCACAACAGAAACGGATTCTAAGGTCCAGCGATTCATTTCTTCCTCAAAGGTATCGGGAACTTCAAGTGTTTGTGGATCACGTATTTGACGTATTCTAAAAAGAATGATTTAATATTTTAGCCCTATAGCAAAGTGGGGATCATAATCAAGCTTTATAATAACTAAAATCATGAAAAGTTAAAACATACCTTTCTATAAATTCCTTATTGACTTGAGACATTTTATGCAAATACAAGCGAACATTTTTGGGTTGCATCATTACCGGATTGACAGTAGAACGAAATTTACCCCAGGTTTCTCCTTGTCTAAAAATATAAAAGACTCATAATATAATTAGAAAATATTAAATTGATATTAAGCAAATATCTTACGTTGATAGTAAACCCTCAACCCCCTGAAAGAAGTCAGCACGATGTACATGACGATGGTATTGTAAATAATCTGAACCCGGCCTAACAGGCCAAATGCCTTCATTGCGCAGAACCTTTTCAAAATCTTCCACATTATGGGTGATTACAAATCCCTTGCGTCCAAAGAAACCGGGTAAAAAGGCCACATTACCCAAATCTTCCTTAAAAGCATTCAACATTTGTGTGGAATCTAAATTGGCATATTTACCGCCGGGTAAAAATTTCCTCAATAAAGCAAAACTACCAATACTGGGAATTTCTTCGAAAGGTTTGGCATTTTGCCATTCTTTATTTACCGACCCTTCGGTTCTCACTTCTGTTTCTAAAGCAGCAGCCGGTGCCGTGGATCTCCAGCGTAACTGTTATTAATGTATAAATTTTACTCATTTTAATTTTTAAACAATTTCCTTATGTTTATTCTAATTACCGTGTTCACTTGCTGCTGTTGTTGTTTTATTAATAACAATTTCGATTTTGTTGTCTCATTTAATTTAATATTTTTATTTAAAATGACGTAGCTATTTTTTAATTTCAACATTTTAACCGAACTTTTTTAAAGCAAACTTTCTCACTAAACAGCAAAATTTATACTGACTATACTATTATCGTTATAGTGATATATTTTTTAATTCTGCAAATATTAATAATTTTTAAGCTTTTATTAAAAAAGAGCTTTTTCTAATTTGTTTACTTAGACATATTATTAATCAATTCATGTTTGACAAGTACTATAACTCGCTCTTATCTTGTTTTGTGTGTAGTTATCTCTCAAAAGCTTTTTTTCTATTTGTTTATTTTAATTTCAGATCACTTTTCGTTTATTATGAATATGAAAAGTAAAACAAAATTAGAAAATATTTGCATATATTTTTTTATGCTTTCAATAAGTTGAAAAATATGGTATATTTCAAATTTTATGGTTGGAAGAATTTTTGTTTATATTTTAATTATCTATAACACAGGACAACAAATTTTGAAAAAAAGTTGAAAGTAGAGAACAAATTCACATTTGGCTTTCGAGATATCGTGTTCTAAAATCTTTCTTTATAAAACTTGTTATGCCATCTGAAAGTCCAATATCTCAACTATAAAATAAAGGCTTAACCTTAACAAGTTAGAGTACCTTCGGGTCTGCCGAATGTTAAATATCTCTCACCTCTCACGAAGAATGAAAAGGGCTTTATACAGCAGCCATGACCAATTATAGGCCGATCCGAAATTTCACAGTATAATTTGTATATAAAAAAACCATTTTGTCCGGTAAAATTAAAGTAAATTTTGTAAGGTCTTCTCATTTGATATATGCTGAATTTTACTATTCGAAATTAATATAGACATCAGAGTGAGTACAGGGCCTTTCTCCACTACACTACACTACTGTTATTAAGCAAGTTGTGAGAGTTAAATTAATTTTCTGAAGGCGATAGGATCAATTATGAACCGATATGGGGGTTAGGGTAAATTAAGAACCGATCCTCATAAAATTTGGTATATAGATTTTGGCTTGTACGAAACATATTTGCATCAAGTGTCATCGCTGTACTCATACTTTTAAGGCAGTACTGATAGTTAAAGTCATTTTCAGAAGGGGACCTTATATGGCGGATAGGGTCGATCCTTACATAATTTTACAAAGAGATTTAAGTTCCTATAAAACGTATTTACCCCGACTTTCATCGCTATAGATGCTTCTTTTAGACAGTTATGAGCGTTAAACTCATTTTATGAAGGGGACCTTATTTGGCGGATAGGGTCACTTATGGGCTGATCCTTAAAAAAATTTACAAAGAGTTCCTATAAAATATGTTTATGTCACATTTCACCGCTATAGATGCTTCCTTTAGACAGTTATGAGCTGTAAAGCCATTTTCTGAAGGGGACCTTACATGGCGGGTAGGGTCAATTATGGGTCGATCCATACAAAGTTTTACAAAGTGATTTAGGTTCCTATAAATCATGTTTATGCCAAATTTCATCGCTATAGATGCTTCTTTTAGGCAGTTATGAGCGTTAAACTCAGTTTTTGAAAATGTTACAAAGAAATTTAGGTTCCAATAATGTTACAAAGAAATTTAGGTTCCAATAAAACATGTTTTTGCCTAATTTCATCGCTATATATGTTTCTTTTAGCTAGTTATGAGCGTTAATGTAATTTTCTGAAGGGTACCTTATATGGGGGCTAGGCGAAATCGTGAACCAATATTGCCCATTTTCAATACCAGACAACCTGCATCAACTAAAAACTTCTGTGCAGCTCTATCGTGTTTTCAAAAGACAGACGGACAGACATGGCTAGTTCGTCTTAGAATATAATAAGGACACAGAATATATCTACTTTTATGGGTCTTAGACGAATATTTCGATGTATTACAAACGGAATGACAAAAACAATATACCTCCATCATTTTTGATGACGGAATTTAAAAAACGAGAAGTTATATTAATATCGGCGGTATTAAAATAGTAGGCGTGGCACCTGCTACAAAACTAAATAGTTATTATTGGAATTTTTTTTAAATATTTTACTGTTAAATAGAGTTGTTTATAATATACAATCTTTTACCTCATAATATGACATCAAATTTTTCTTATAACTATAATGTTAGCCCTCACCTTCTAATTTTTAAAATTATCCACTACTTTCCACATTGTTTTCATCAATAATCCAAATCGGTAAATTTAAATTTCAACGGAATATTGGGAACATTTATCAGCAGACTTTTGAAAGCATTCTCGGTGGAATAATTAAACTCAATCTGATAGTTACGCACCATACGAGCAATACCCAATTCTAGTTCCATTTCGGCAATACGACGGCCAATACAACTACGAGCACCAAAGCCAAAAGGTAAATGCAAGAAGGGAGTACTAGGCTTCAAAGAATGAGGACATTTTGCACTCTCATTCGTTTCTTTGTCGGATCTCAGCCAACGTTCGGGTAAAAATTCATTAGGACTAGGATAATGATTGCCATCACGAGTCAAAGAGGTGGTGCTCATAACCACTTGTGTACCCGTTGGTACTCTGTAGCCACTAACCACCACATCTTTAACGGGAACACGGGAATTGCCAACGAGTAAAGGATAACAACGGAGGGATTCTTTAATGCAGGCTCTTAAATAGGGCATATTTTTAATACTATTCTCATTAAACTCGGAGTCCTTGTGGGGTAAAACTTTTAATACCTCTTCGCGTAGTTTTTGTTGTTTCTCGGGATTTTTAGCCAAACACAATAGCAAACCGGTAAATGTCGAAGAAGTCTAAAATTTGTTAAACAATTTTGAAGAAAGTTATAAAAACTATAATTATCTTTGTAAAATATTTACCGTATCCACTCCTGCCATTAACATGTCCATGGCCATTACTATGGCTATTTTCTTATCGATTTTAATTAACTTTTCCAAAACACTTTTTTCATTTTCTGGCTTTTCGGGCACTCCATTTTTACGATCCTCTTCGATGCGTTCAATAGCCTCGTTAACATACGAACTCGTGATATCGACAATTTTATCCAAAGCTGTCATTAGTTTTTTAAACATTGGTGTTTTGATATATCTCCAGATGGAGGGTTTAAATTCCACTTCCATGGAATACAGAAAGAAATCAGTTAAGGCCTGAAACAGTTCTTTGGTCTCAGGATTATCTCGATTTTTACTAATCAAACCTAATTGTTTGTCTAGTGCCACAACTGAAACGGATTCTAAGGTCCAGCGATTTATTTCTTCCTCAAAGGTATCGGGAACTTCGAGAGTTTGTGGGTCACGTATTTGACGTATTCTAAAAATAATTATTTTATATTATAGATGTATTTTTAATGAATATACAACTAGCTCTATAGCGATGTGGTGAACATAATTTAGCTTTATAATAACTAAAATTCGTTTACCAAATGAGTATCGGTCCATAAGTGAACATTCTCCCTATATAATCTAATTTATACAAAATCAGTTTATTTTCGAAAGCCAATAAATCTTTTTAACTATTTCCGACTACTTTTACATAAAAACTGGCGAAATTTTTGATAGGATTACTATAAGTTTTATAAAAACTTACCTTTCTATAAATTCCTTATTGACTTGAGACATTTTATGTAAATATAAACGAACATTTTTGGGCTGCATCATTACGGGATTAACAGTAGAACGAAATTTTCCCCAGGTTTCTCCTTGTCTAAAAATATAAAAGAATCAAATCGTAGTAATAAATATTTACTTGATATTAATCCAATATCTTACGTTGATAGTAGGCCCTCAATCCCTTGAAAGAAGTCAGCACGATGTACATGACGATGGTAATGTAAATAATCTGAGCCCGCTCTAATAGGCCAAATACCTTCATTACGTAAAATCTTTTCAAAATCTTCCACATTGTGAGTGATTACAAATCCCTTGCGACCAAAGAAACCGGGTAAAAAGGCCACATTACCCAAATCTTCCTTGAAAGCATTTAACATTTGTGTTAAATCTAAATTGGCATATTTACCGCCGGGTAAAAATTTCCTCAATAAAGTTAAACTACCAATACTGGGAATTTCTTCGAAAGGTTTGGCATTTTGCCATTCTTTATTTGTCGATCCCTCGTTACACACTTGCGAATCTAAAGTCGGAGTAGGGGCTGTGGATAGGCAGCGTAACTATTCTTGTTAATAGGTATATACATTTTAATTATATTAGTTTTTAAACGATTTTCTTATAGTATAATTACCGTGTTCACTTGCTGCTGTTGTTGTTTTATTAGTAATAATTTAAATTTTGTTGTCTTATTTAATTTAATATTATTATTAAAAGTAACGTAGCCAGTTTTTAATTTCAACATTTTACCCGAACTTTTAAGTCAAACTTTCTAACTTAATAGCAAAATTTATACTGACTATACTATTATCGTTATAGTGATATATTTTTTTTTAATTCTGCAAATATTAATAATTTTAAATGTTTTATTTAATAAAAGAGCTTTTTCTAATTTGTTTAATTAAAAAATATTATTAAACGTTTGACAAGCATATCCCGCTCTTATCTTGTTTAATACTTATTCCTCAAACGTATTTTTTCTACAATTTGTTTCAATAAAGATTTTTAGATCATTTCATTTGTTATGAATATGCAGAGTAAAACAAAATTAAATAATATTTTGTAAATGTTTATTTTCTATGTTAATATGTAGTTAATTATTTAAATTTTATGGTTGAAAGAATTTTGGTTTATATGTATTTTAAATTACCTATAACACATTCAGTCACTGATTAGTCATCAACAGTTCCTCAAAGTTGCTCCAAATCTTTACAATTTCAAAGAGAACTGTTCTAAAGAAGGTATAACTGCTCTGAAGTTGATAGCGAAATGTTGTTTTGGATCCTTATTAGATTTTACAACGATCGTACCATGTTCTTTCGCTGTTTGTTGAAAACACGATAGGGTTTAAAAGGGAAGGAGTTGGAGGACTGAAATGTTACATAATTAATCTTTATTTTTAAATATTCTTAATCACATCATCTTTTCGGGGTCCTTATTAGATTCTTAGCTGATGTACTACCGCTGTCTCTTGAAAACACAATAGGATCTAAAAGGGGTGAAGTTAGAGGGCTTAGATGTAATATATTGATCTTAACTGAAGCAGTTTCTTAATCGGATCCTTATTAGATGGTACGCCGATGTACTACTGCTGTCTGTTGAAAACACAATAGTGTCAAAAAGGGGAGGAGTTAGAGGGTTGAAATGTTACATACATAATTTGATGTCTATTGATGCAGTTTCTTAATCACATCATGTTTTCGAGATATTATAGTTTTTAGTCGTTTAGACGTTACAGAAACGCCAAGAAACCAATACTTATAATATTTGGTATGTCATCTGAAAGTCCAACTTGACGACTTTAAAATAAAGAGTTAACTTTTCTTATAATATATTCTTACTTTCTCGAGATATCTTAAACTTACGTAAACTTTATTTGCAGCAAAAACATCAACCGACGATATCTCAGTAGGTTAGGTTGATAGGAAGAGGTATACTACATCAAATCCGAAGAAATACGCCTAGGCCACTATCGAGCTGGTTGTGCGCTCCTTTCCATGAAAAAATTTTTCACTGAATTTTCAGAAACTCAGTTTACTGGAGGTAATTCCTAAGAATGTTCCAATCATATCACTTCCAAGATACTTGGATCTACCTTCGACGAATTCCTGACAGTGGCAAAGAGTGTGCTCCAGAGTTTCATCCAATACGGTCTTACATTTAATTCTATCACCTGATATCGCCTTCTGGCTGTCGGCAAAAACATATATTAAGCCCTGTGGACGCCATATAATCCAATTTACACATTCCGTTATTGCTCGGACTTTTGCCTGGAAGCTTGCGCTATGATTAGGTAAACGGTGGTATATTTCTGTTCTTTTGGTCTTCAATATAGAACCACAGGCCCACTTTGACCCTTAATTTAGAGCCATCCGTGTAGTAAGGAATTCCTACTGTAATTTGCTCTAATGTTCCGCTTGACCAAGACATTCTATCTGGGATCAGCGTTTCAAAGTTTCCGACATATTCTGTGTCTGGTATGCGATCAGGCACGTTCGATGATTATGTATAACCTTCCAATGTGTCCAGTATACATTAAAGACGTGTCCTATAACCGCTTTTGGCCAATTTGCCCAAAGTAAAGAGCCGTTCAGCTGTAAGCGCTGCCTCATATCATAAATATGTTTCAATGGGTGGAATATCTCGCAACGTTTCCAGAGCCTTGGTTGAAGTAGTACACATGGCACCACTTATACAGCATGTACGCTGAACTCCCTGTAGTAGTTTGATATTGCACTTTTTGTTCAAAGCAGTCCATCAGATTATTGAAGCATAAGCTAGAATTGGTCTAATTACACTTTTATAAAGCTAGTTTGTCATAGTAGGACCAAGACCCCATTTCATGCCTATAGTTTTCCTACATATCGCCCAGCACCGATGTGCCTTGTTGATCCTATCCTCTATGAGGTGTCTCCATTTTAATTTCCGGTCTAGAATTACACCTAAGTACTTAACTTAACTTATATGTCACCGATATCTTCTTGCCCAGGAAGCAAGGTTCAGTATACGTAGAAATTTTTATCTTTCTTGTTCACCTATGTAGTTGTTGTTGCGGTTTCCACCGATCGTCCATTTAAATTTAATGGACAATCGGTGGAATGATCAAATTTAAGGTCTTTGTCTCGTATACTGCTTTTCACTATACTATCGACTATCCGTTCCAAGGTAGGATAGGACTTAGGTGTCTCAGTAAATATAACAGATTTTTAAATAATTAAAGCCAATGGATTTGACTTTCAGATGACATAACAAATATTATAAAAAAGGTGTCTTCGTAATGTTATAACAATCCAAATATAAATCTTTAGTAAGCGATATCTGAAATGAAGGAAAAATTCCGAGGCCAGACTTAGATTCAGAGCAGCTGTGTTAGCCAGTGTAATCCAAAATATCTCTAACAAATATTATAAAGAACGGTTCATTATTAACCCTATGTATATGTTGAATTTAATCTCTAACTTCTTCACTAATAACAATTACATACTTTAATAAATAACATTTCATATTTAATTTGAATATTTTATTTTAAACAAACTTAATTTACTTCACATAACCTAAAAATAACATCACATAACCTAATATAACAATTTCACATAAAAATTATACTTCACTCGTTTTCAATAATCCAAATCGGTAAATTTAAATTTCAAGGGTATATTTGGAACATTTATCAGCAGACCCTTAAAAGCATTCTCTGTAGGATAATTAAACTCAATCTGATAATTACGCACCAAACGTGCAATACCCAATTCCAGTTCCATTTCGACAATACGACGGCCAATACAACTACGAGCCCCAAAACCAAATGGTAAATGTATGAAGGGATTGCTGGGCTTAAGACTATGAGGACATTCTGAACTAATGTCGGTTTTCTTATTCGATCTCAACCAACGTTCGGGTAAAAATACATTTGGTTGGGGATAATAATCACTATTACGTATCATAGAGACAGTACACAAAGATATTTGGGTACCCTTGGGTACTCTATAGCCACTTATGACTACATCATTGGCGGGAGCTCGGGCATTACCGAGGGCTAAGGGATAGATACGTTGCGACTCTTTAATGCAGGCTCTCAAATATGGTATATTCTTTAAAGCATTCTCATCAAATTCCGAATCTTTTTGGGGTAGAATTTTCAAAATCTCTTGACGTAATTTCTCCTGTTTTTCGGGATTTTTAGCTAGACACAACATTAAACCGGTAAATGTGGTGGTGGTCTAAAAGTGTTACAACATTTTAGTAATATATTAATAAAATATATATTTTTATTTAAAAATGTTTACCGTATCCACACCCGCCATTAACATGTCCATGGCCATAACACTGGCAATTCTTTTATCGATTTTGATAAGTTTTTCCAAAACACTTTTTTCATTTTCTGGCTTTTCCGGCACTCCCTTTTTACGATCTTCCTCGATACGTTCAATAGCTTCGTTAACATATGAACTGGTTATATCGACAATTTTGTCCAAAGTTTTCATTAAATTCTTAAATGTTTTAGTTTTGTAATATCTCCAGAGTGATGGTTTAAATTCCAGTTCCAATGAATACATAAAAAAATCATTTAATGCCTGAAACAGTTCTTTGGCTGCGGGGTTATCGCGATTTTTAGTAATCAATCCTAGTTGTTTGTCCAGCGCCACAACAGAAACTGATTCTAAGGTCCAACGGTTAATTTCCTCTTCAAAGGTATCGGAAACTTCGAGAGTTTTTGGGTCACGTATTTGACGAATTCTAAAAGGAAAAGTTAAACAGTTAGAATGTAGAATTAAGCGAGAATTTTCCGTAAATAGAGAACCAAACGATAATTCTCTATAAAGAGAGAATTAATGATGAAATATTCAAATTCTCCAAATCATATCAGATAGAACAATCCAATATTTGGGTCTTAAAGATATACGAGGTCTTCGGGAATTTGATTTCAACAAACATAATACAATTTTAAACATTTGATCGCAATGTTTGCACTACAAAAGCAGCTGATACGGAAAACGCTCATTTATCTCCATGGGGTAAAACAATATCGATAAGGTCTAAGATAAGATTTTTATTATAACAAAATTTTTTGAATGACGAAATTTTTAACTGGATTTCAATCAGATAAAAATAATTTATAATTACCTTTCTATAAATTCCTTATTGACTTCTGACATTTTATGCAAATACAGGTGAACATTTTTGGGTTGCATCATCACCGGATTGACAGCCGAACGAAAAGTACCCCAAGTCTCACCTTGCCTATGAAAGTTAGTGAAAACATAAATATTTCACATTTGATTGTTTAGTCGTAACGAAATACTTACGTGGATATTAAACCCTCCACACCCTGAAAGAAATCCGCTCGATGTACATGACGATGATAATGTAGAGTCTCTGAACCTGGTCTATCTGGCCAAATGCCTTCATTGCGTAAAACCACTTCAAAATCGTCTAAATTATGGGTGATTACAATACCCTTGCGACCTAAGAATCCAGGTAAATAGGCCACATTACCCAAATCTTTGTGTAAAGCTTCCATCATTTTGTTGGTATCTAAATTGGCATATTTGCCTCCCGGTAAAAAGTTTTTAATCATACTAAAAATACTCATAGTGGGCATTTCGTGGAAAGGTTTGGCATTTTGCCATTCTTTGTTGGCTTCAGAATTAACGTCATTCTTTAACGCAGCAGCGGCTGCAGTAGATCGAAAGTGTAACTGTAATTACGTATTTGAATTTTTAATTAATTTAATTATTATTGATGATATTTGTTTAATTACTGTAACTGCTGGCTGCTGCTGTTGTTGTTTTACTAATAATAATTTATATTCCCTTGTCAGTTTTGAATTGATATTATTATTTAAAATGACGTAGAAATTTTTTAATTTAAACATTTTACTCGTTCTAGATAACTAAACATTCTTTCTAAACACTCAATTTAAAACTGAATGCATTTTCTTTGTATATCTATTTTATTAAAATTTGAAATATTATTAATATTTTCAAAATTTATTGCAAAAACTAAAGCTTTTTCTAAGTTGTTTGTTATATTTATGTTTAACAACAATAACTAATGGCACTCTCATCTTAAAATTATCGTTCTCAAAAGCTTTTTCTAATTTCTCTTTTTGTTTAGGTAATTTCGGTTTGTTATGAATATTTAGAGTAAAACAGAATAGAGAATAAATAATATTAAACAAATTATTAGAATTAATTAGAAAGCTTTTTGTTGTTTTTGCTAAAGCATAACGTAGGATTTGATAAAAGTAATTTTATTAAAAATTTTAAGATCAATTTAAATTTGTTTGATCTGAGCTGATAAAATGAAAATTATAATAACTATGCATAAGTATTACCATCTAATCTTCAAGATCATGTCGAGTGTTAATTGTTATGGATATAATTTTGTGTTTCGGTTTTAACCATTTCACCGCTTTAAATAACAATATAAAGTTTTATTCCCTATAGCTAGAAGTAATCGGAAATATTTCGGATTAATAGATAATGCCTGTGCAATGTTATATATCATCTACTTAATTCATCCGACAACCTTATGTAAGTTTGTTTTCGATTGATATTCTGTCGGAAAATCAATAATAAGTTAACTTTTTTTAAAAATGAGGCATGTTTCTGTTTGTTATTAAAACGTACAGTCCTTTGAAAACTCCTTGAGTATGTATGATGAAATACAAATTTGTCCGTTGACTGATAATTAAGTGTAACAATTTAAGTACAAAAACAATGAAGCAAAAAATTATGTTATCGTTAAATTAATTAATAAATTAATGTATTGAAAAAGTGAATGTAGATATGAGAGTATGGGTCATAGCTAGTTAGTTAGTTATTTAATTAGCTAGTTAGTTAGTTAGTTAGTTAGATAGTTAGTTAGTGTTAGTTAGTTAGTTAGTTAGTTAGTTGTAGTTAGTGTTAGTTAGTTAGTTAGTTCGTTAGTTAGTAGTTAGTTAGTTAGTTGTTAGTTAGTTAGTTAGTTAGTTTTAGTTAGTTAGTTAGTTAGTTAGTTAGTTAGTTAGTTAGTTAGTTAGTTAGTTAGTTAGTTAGTTAGTTAGTTAGTTAGTTAGTTAGTTAGTTCGTTAGTTAGTTAGTTAGTTAGTTTAGTTAGTTAGTTGTTAGTTCGTTCGTTAGTTAGTTTCGTTCGTTCGTTCGTTCTTTAGTTAGTTTTAGTAGTTATTCGTTCGTTAGTTCGTTTTCGTTCGTTCGTTCGTTTAGTTCGTTCGTTAGTTTCGTTCTTCGTTCGTTCGTTAGTTCGTTCGTTTCGTTCGTTCGTTGTGTTCGTTCGTTCGTTCGTTCGTTGTTCGTTCGTTCGTTCGTTCGTTCGTTCGTTCTTCGTTCGTTCGTTTTTAGCTTGTTCGTCCTTTCTGTTAGTTTTTAGTTCGTTCGTTCGTTAGTGTTAGTTCGTCGTTCGTTTGTTCGTTGGTCGTATGTTCGTTTCGTAGTTCGTTCGTTGTTCGTAGTAGTTCGTTACGTTAGTTCTGTTCGTTCGTTCATTCGTTCGTTCGTTCGTTCGTTCGTTCGTTCTTTTCGTTCGTTTTTGTTCGTTCGTTTCGTTCGTTCGTCGTTCCGTTCTTATCTTCGTTCGTTCGTTCTTCGTTCGTTAGTTCCGTTCGTTAGCTGCCCCCATCCACACAGACACACGATCTGTGTAAAATCGGTTAACAATTGTCCATCCATGTAATCGTTGACGACAAAGTAAACGATATTGTCGTCCATAAAATCGTTGACGACCAAGTAGACAATATTGTCATCCAAAAATCATTGATAATAAAGTAGACGACATTGTCGTCAATATAATCGTTGACGATATTGTCGCCTATATATTCGTTAACGACAAAGCTGGGGACACTGTCACCAATGTAATCGTTGATGATCAAGCGAACATATAGCCGACGTTTTCACTGTTATTGAGCGACATTGTCTCTCATTGAATCGTCCACGATTTTCGCGACACTTGTTCAAAAATGTCGTTGACGATTTGTTCCAGCTATCCTACATTTGTCTTCCAGGACTTTACATTGTCGTGTACCCATCGTTGAGGATGTCTTACAAACATGCCCAACTGGGAAGTGATTTTCTCCCCCACTGTTTTAGTGTGATGTTTGTATATGTATATTAAAATCAGTTCAATCGTTAAAGTTTAAACTAATATTCAGATATGTTCATCAATAATGATGTAATTTAAAATATGTGTTTTTTATTCGACACAATTCCTATCGGTAAATTCTTTATATTCATTGAACTTGAACTTACAATAGAACAAAGCTAATGAACTTATTTTACAAACATTTAGTTACATTAATTCTCTTAATAAACAAATAATAAAAGCTTTTCAAAGAGAAAACTTTTTACTGACAAAGCCAAAAATCAATTTCCGTCATTTTATATTAACCTTCGTATTACCAAACTTTAAAGTTATTTACATTAATATGTAGACTAACAGAACCGGGTGGTTTCTGTTTTCTGATAAAATTAATAAAAAGTTTGATCCGTGAATTATAAAAATCTAGCTTTTTTCTATTTACAAATTTATTCACAAATACATTTTAAATTTTTAATCATAAAAAATAAATATTTATAATTATTCTTATCTACTACTTATCTACATCGGTAAATTTAAATTTCAACGGTATATCTGGTACATTTATCAAAAGACTCTTGAAAGCATTCTCTGTAGGGTAATTATACTCCACCTGGAAATTTCTTATAACACGGGCAATACCCAATTCCAGTTCCATTTCAACAATACGACGACCAATACAACTACGTGGACCAAAACCGAATGGCAAAGAAGCAAATGGACTGCTGGGCTTTAAAGCATGAGGACACTCGTTAGAATTTTGATTTTATTTATCCTCTTCTACTCGTAACCATCTTTCGGGTAGAAATTCTTTAGCACGTGGGAAATATTTATCATCGTTTACTATGGCACAAGAAATCATAGAGATTTGTGTGCCCTTGGGTACCTGATAGCCACTTAAGACCACATCGTTGGTCGTAACCCTTGAATTTCCAATAACAATTGGATACAAACGTAAAGATTCCTTAATACAGGCCCTTAGATAAGGTATATTCCTTAAAGATTCCTCCGTAAATTCCGAATCTTTATGAGGTAAAATGTTCATAATTTCTTCTCTAAGTTTGGTTTGTTTTAGGGGATTTTTAGCCAAGCACAATAGTAAACCAGTAAAAGTAGAGGAAGTCTATAAAATAAAGATTAGTTTCTAGTTGGTATTAATATCGTTTTTTAATACTCACCGTATCCACACCCGCCATTAACATATCCATGGCCATAACTGTAGCTATTTTCTTATCAATTTTTATTAATTTTTCCAAAACACTCTTTTCATGTTCCGGCTTTTCTGGTTCACCTTTTTGACTTTCTTCTTCTAAACGCTTTATGGCTTCATTGACATATGCACTGGTTGTAAACGTTATAGTATCTAAACATTTCATTAGATTTTTAAATGATTTAGTTTTATAATATTTCCAAATGGGAGGAGCATACTCCACTTCCATGCCGTATATAAAAAATTCATTAATAGCCTTAAATAGTTCTTTGGCCAAGGGATCTGAGCGATTTTTATTCATTAAGCCCAATTGTTTATCGAGAGCAACAACCGAAACGGATTCCAAAGTCCAACGATTCATTTCCTCTTCAAAACTGGCGGGAACTTCGAAAGTTTGGGGATCACGCATTTTTCGAATTCTAGAAGTTAAAGGAAAGATGTTAGACAACCGAACAAGTAGGCTGAAGAACTACAGGATATGTATTGAACTTACCTCTCGACAAATTCCTTATTAACCTGTGACATTTTATCCATATATAAACGAACATTCTTTGGTTGCATTAGTACTGGATTAACAGTCGATCTAAAATTAGCCCACTTCTCATTTTGTCTTCAAAATTATAAAATCCAAATTATATAAAAAGACTATTTTCAAAAGCTAATTCTGTTACTTACGTCGATATAATTCCCTCTGTACCTTCAAAGAAATCTGCTCTATGTACACTTCTATGGTAATGTAAAGCATCCGAACCCGGTCTTATTGGCCAAATTCCCTCATTTCGAAATACTGTTATAAAATCTTCTACATTGTGAGTAATCACACCATCTTTGCGTCCGAAATAACCATCGAATCTCATAATATTGCCCATATCTTTCTTAAGGGCTAGCATTAGTTTGGTGGGTTCCATTTTATAATATTTACCACCCGGTAGAAAGTTAAGCATATCGGATAATTTCTTATGTGAAGGAATTTCTTTGTATGGCTTGGCATTTTCCCATTCTTGTTTAAAAGAATTTGTTTCCGTGGTCGTTCCAATTACCGCTGTAGACCTTAAGCGCCACTAAAGATTTTGTTACTTTTGAAAGAAATTATTAATATTTTATAGAACCTACTTGCAGTGGTTTTCCAATAATTTGCCATTTATTTTGGTGCCTTAATAAAATATTTCCCGTCATTTTTGTTTTGCTTTATAACAAAATTTCTTTGTGACTAAATTAATATAAATCGCAAATTGTTATTAAATATTAAATTTTATTTATTTGCATGAATATGTGTTAAGGTTCTTATCTATTGTATTTGAATACTCGACAAAGAATGAAAACTAAATGCTGGGCTTTTTTCCCGGCAATCAAATATATTACTATTCTCTTCTCTCTTTTCCTCTCTTCTAATGTTATCAAACTCATTTTATTAAAGTTGAACCATTTATCAAAGGGAAGGTCAATTTTAAGTCAAATCAAACATTCAATAAAGGGCCCAACAATGCACGGTGCTTGAGATTCGAAATTCGCCATGATTTTAAATAATAACAAGGATTAAGATTTCACACATCATTTTTCGGTCAAGTAGTCTTAACATTAATAGATCACAGACAGAAGAGTTCCCCTAATTTTCACATCTGTGTTTAGATTTGTCTCTGGATGGACAGAGGTTTACAAAATATGGCATTAGGTTAGGTTATTTTATGTTAAAAGTAGGTTCTCCGATTCGGAAAATAGTGCATATAGTTTTTATAACGAACAGTTTTAAAACTCAGATTATTGGCTGTAGTTCCTTGGAGTTTTTCAATCTGTATTCCGAAAGAGAGATAATATCTAGAATAATATCACTTTCAAGATATTTGAATAAAATTTCGATAAAAGCCTGACAATGGCAGAAAAAGTGCTCCAGCGTTTCACTATCCTCTTCGCATTCTCTGCATTCATCTGAATCCATTCGTCCAATTTAGAATAGTTATGCCCGTACTATTCTCGGACTTATTCCTTCTCAGGACAATTCCCGTTCTGCCCTCGTTGGAATCATACATAGCATTTTAGTGTCCTAGTGTTGTCTGAATCCATTAGTCCAATTTAGAATAGTTAGGTCTGTAAAATCCTCGAATTTTTTCCTTCTTAGGAAACTTCACTTCCTGTTTTCGTTGGGGCCATCCCATTGGATTTTCAGTTTCCTACACTCGTCATTTTAGTTAGGTTCTCGCTGTTTCGGATTAACTTCCTCAAACTTCTTTGCCTGTACATTCGTTCTTTTATTGCCGATTATACCTGAAAGAACATTCGATTATGGGTCTTTTGCATTCCAGTATAGTAGTAAATTTAACCTTATCAGCTGATATCTTCCTATCTAACTTTCGGATAATATTTTATTAATACAATTAATTTTACGCATTTCGTGATACGACAGACTTTCTCCTGAAAGCTAGTGTTATGATAAGAAAGACGGTAGTATATTTCGGTTTCCGAAATTTCAATGTAGATTTCCAGACCAGTTTTTTCTGCCAATTTAGAGTCATTCGAGTAGCATAGATTTACTCTAATGTTTCGTTTTTCTGCGATCTCTTATCTGGTGATAACGAGTCCTATAACATTGCCCCCTCGTATCTTACATGCGTTTCGCCGTAATTGCCTTCTGACTTTCAGAGAATATCTTAACTATCCAATCAATTTTACGCATTTTGTGATACGATGGACTTTTTCCTGTAAACTAGTGTTATGATTAGGAAGATAGTAGTATATTTCGGTTTCCGGAATTTCAATATAGATTTCCAGATCTGATTTGTCTGCCAATTTAAAGCCATCCGTCTAATACGTGTTCCCGCGGGGGTTTGTTCTAACGTTTCGCCCAGCGTCGATTTCTTATCTGGTGATAACGAGTCCTGTAACTTTACCTCGTATCTGAAATGCTTTACGATTGGTTAAATGTCCATCAAGGCTTTTTTTCTAAACCTCTGATTGATCAAGGTTTATTCCAAGGTATTTAACAATATCGGTCACTGATATCGTCCTGTCCAAGAATTCTCGTTCACTGTTAACAGCAATTTTCATATTTCTTGGGAATAGACAGATATCCGTTTTAGTTGGGTTTACATTTAGCCCAACTAAAAGCCACATTAAGCACCTTTTGAGATCTACTGCGACTGGTATAAATCCTTTATTGGTTAAGGTCGTTCAGCTGCTATTTATTGTAATTACTCAAAATATAGGGGCTTTTGTGTACTGCGAAATAGCTGCATCTCGCAACTTATCGAACTACTCCTTAGTATATGTTGGTTGATCCATATTGAAAGTTCTTTCGATATAAATTTGTTATCGAAGGATTTCTCGTAGTGTACAACTTTATTATTTTAGTATACAACTACTATTATTTAGAGCAGTTTTCATTGATCTACTCTTTATATAAGATGTTGCTTAAATTTCAGGTCTTTATCCGTTTTTGTGCTATCAGCTACCCTTTCCAAAGATTTATGTAGATAGGACGATGGGCATATAGGTCGGTGAGACTTTGGAGTCGCGTAACTCGGCTTTGCAGACTTTATGTAGAAAGGACGATGGATATATAAAAGTCGTTAAGACTTTGGAGTCGCGTAACTCGGCATTGCAGGTTTTATAATAAATACTATTCTTTCGATTATCAGATAACTTTCAACATAGATGATGATCATTCTGTTACTAAGTTGTACTTCTGAATCCAAAAATTTTTGACAGAAGAAACACCGATTTTTCAATTCTTCTATATAATTTATTAATAACATTATTTATCTACTGCTAAAATATAGTTCTTAACATCACATATTCAATTACATTAACATTTAAGACATTTCTCATACATCAATATCGGTAAATTTAAATTTCAACGGTATATTAGGGATATTCATCAGCACACTTTTAAATGCATTATCAGTAGGATGATTATATTCTATTTGAAAGTTGCGCACTATACGAGCGATGCCCAGCTCTAGTTCCATCTCTACAATACGACGACCAATACAAGTGCGTGGACCAAAACCGAAGGGTAAATAAACAAATGGACAGCTGGGTCTTAGGGGATGTGCAGATGTTGTTGCTTGATTTGTATTACTCTCCTTTTGTGCTCGCAACCAACGTTCTGGTAGATATTCATTAGCTCTAGGAAAATGATTTTCGTCGCGTAATAATGCTATAGAAACCATAGAAACTCGTGTATCTTTAGGTATTCTATAGCCACTTAATACCACATCATTGGCTGGTGAACGGGCATTGCCCACGGTTAAGGGATAAACACGCAGAGATTCCTTAATACAAGCTCTTAAATAAGGCATATTCTTACAGGCTTCTTCCGTGAATTCCGAGTCTTTGTGAGGTAAAATTTGCCTAACTTCTTCTCGTAATTTAGCTTGTTTTTCGGGATTTTTAGCCAGACATAATAAAAGCCCAGTAAAAGTGGAAGAACTCTGGAATATTACAATTTTTTATATAGAAATAATTCACTGTTTATAAGTTTTTTTTTTTTTTTTTTTGCTTACCGTATCCACTCCCGCCATAAACATATCCATGGCCATAACTGTTGCGATTTTCTTATCAATTTTTAGCAGTTTTTCTAAAACACTCTTCTCATGTTCTGCCTTCTCTTTCACACCATTTAAACGTTCCTGTTCCAAACGTTCAATGGCCTCATTTATATAGGTAGTGGTTATCTCTAATAGAGTGTCCAAAGAATTCATTAATTTTTTAAAGGTTTTCGTTTTATAATATCTCCATATTGAGGGTTTCAGCTCTACATCTAATGAAAGTGCTATGAATTCATTTAGAGTGGCAAACATTTTTGTAGCCATTGGATTGTTCCGATTTTTGGTAATCAAACCCAATTGTTTGTCCAGAGCGACTACCGATACAGATTCTAAAGTCCAGCGATTTATTTCCTCTTCAAAGGTATCAGGCATTTCTAGAGTATTAGGGTCACGTATTTGACGAATTCTGAAAGTATATTAAATAGATGTTAGATAACATAATAGATATTATTAAAAGCGAAAGTTTTTCCCCGATAATTTAAACTCCAACTTAAAACAAAAACCAAAGGTTTAAGTCTGTATAGGTGAAATCGTAAATCGGCACAATCATGTGACGACTTATTTCATCAGTAACCTGATAATCGTTATTGCCCATAATTTAAAAGAATTTCCGATTTCGTTAAAATATTTTATAGATACATATTTCTACAGAATCGACAAAGTCTCGGAAATCGAATCATAAAATTCAAACCATTTCATACTCCACAATTACTTACTCACCTTTCTACAAACTCCTTATTAACCTTTGACATTTTACTCAAATATAATCTTATAGTTTTGGGTTGCATTAATACCGGATTTATCATAGATCTCAAACTACACCATTTTATACCATGTCTATAGAAATTTAAAGTACAATTTTTCAAATCTACATTATACAATAAAACATTCTCTAAATCATCAATTGCATCTTACGTTGCCAATAGTCCTAAAACTCCTTGAAAAAAATCTGCCCTATAAATACGGCGATGATAGTTTAAAGTTAATAAACCCGGCCGTTTGGGCCAAGTACCTTCATTACGATAGATCGTCTCAAAGTCTTGAACATTGTGTGTAAAAATAAGATCTGGTTGACCAAATAGACCGGGTAATTTGTAAATATTACTATTCAACTCCTGTTTAAGAGTTAATATATATTGATGTGAATCTAGTTTAGAATATTTGCCTCCTGGTAGGAAATTTTTAAGTAATTTTAATTTATTAATTGAGGGTATTTCTTCGTATGATTTTGCTGCTTGCCATTCCGGGTTAAAGGTTCTTTTTATATCCTGTTGATCATTTTTAAAGGCCGTTGTCGTCGAATAAAATTTGAGTGACTAAATATGTAAATTATTTACATTATTTGTTTGTCATGAAAACTATAAACTTTGGCGTGTGTTTACAAATATTTACTTACAATTTGCGGTTTATTAAATCGAAAACTTTTGCATTTTAACATGTTCGTTATTAAATTAAAATTTGTACTTTTTATTAACCTCTTGTTTAGGGAAATAAACTCACACTGAAAGTCCGTTTAGAAAATTATATTACAAATTGTATAATTGTTATACTTATGCAGATATATTAGACCGGCTCACAAAAAGTAGTACTTGAGTTACCCTGTCATGTCATATGATGTTACCGGACCTGTCATATCTGACAATTTATCGGTATTTTACGTTAAAAATAGTAAGGTGCCGATTTGAAAAATGCAAAAAATGGACATTGCTACTTTTGTTTCTTCACTCCTCTGTTATACTGTGAGCGTCAAAAGAAAATGTATAAATGAAATTGTACTTTTGTAACTCGTTATAGCCCTGTAGGATTTTGTTAGTTAACTAAAAATCAAGTTAACTTTTTGATAACTTCTTATGACTAGCTTCAAAGTAACTCAAAAATGATCGAGGAAATGAACAAACATTTCAATAAAATTTTAAATAAAAAATAAAATAGAAACTCGTATCAAATTTGTCAAACAATTTGTATTGAAAAAATGAAATTATGAAAATGAAAATTTGTTTCAGCAATGAAAAATGAATTTATTATTATTAAATTAACATTTTCAGGAATATAAGACATATGTAGATAATGGTGTATATAGGAAGGAAATGTTGCTGCATATTGAACGCATTTATAATCACTAACAATTTGTTAAAAATAGTATAAAAATATAAGAAAATTGCACAGGTAACTCACAGCTGATCTTTTATTTATGCACTAGAAGCTAACTCATCTTGAGGTAACTTCTGGTTAACTGAAACTGATGTATAATGAATGAGTACTGACTCGTTCCTATGACATCACATTGAAAAACTGAATAGTATTTTATAAGCAAAATGGTTAGCTTTTGAGTCACCTCTGACTCATTTGTGGTTAACCATAAGTTAGTTTTAAGTTAACTCAAAATCCTACTGGGAGATATCGAAGTCGGTTTGGAGAAGTCTGACTGTCCGCCTACGCAAGCCCCTTTTTTAGTTAAGTTTGTTTTTAAATGCCTGTCCATCTGTCTGTCTGTCTGCCCGTGTGTATATTGAAATCAGATTTCAGAAGACCCCAGATATCTGCGATATCCGAATCAGCCATGCTTTCGGGAAGAACGCTATTTAAAATCATAAATTGTCTAGAAACGTGAAATTAAGCATGTAGTGCACTTTTTCGTACTTCCAAAGGTACTTTTTGACTTTTTTATAACATTGAACCAAGAAAATGAAATTAATCTTGTTGGGCCCAGAGTGAGAACCTATAAAATGGGACATTTTGGTATTTTTTCGTTCTTCAAAAAAGTACTTTTTGAATTTTCTATAATATTGAACCTGGAAGCATAAAATAAAGCGTGTAAAAACCGAAGTAAGTGAGAACCTATAAAAGGGGACTTTTTAGTACTTTTTCGTTCTTCAAAAGATACTTTTGGAATTTTATATAATATTGATCCTAGAAACATGAGTCCTACGTGAAAATCTGTAGGTAAGGATTTTTGGTACATTTTCATACTTTAACTGGTATATTTTGGTTTTTATGCAATATTGAACCTAGAAACATATAATCAGACATACATATGGGCAATGTATATATGTATATCCCGATGGAATAAAAATCTATAAGAATGAATTTTTAGTACTTTTTGTTCTTCAACTGGTACTTTTTAATTCTGTTATAATATTGAACCTAAAAAACGTGATTGAATCAAAATTTATAAAAGGGGAGTGTCATAAATAATTGAACCTTGAATCAAACATATAAGATCCTGATGGTATGAAAATTTATAAGAGTAAACTTTTTTGTACTTTTTCGTTCTTCAATTGGTACTTTTTGAAATTTAACATCTGTAATACACTTCTTAAGTAATAATGCCCATATGGTTTTACACACATACATATGTATATATTGATAATGATGATACCAAATTATTATTTCACAATCCCCGATAATTAATATTAATATTTTGAACTAAAAACAGGGTCATTTCGTTAAACAACTGTTACGATGTAGAATTTTTTCTTTTTCGGCAATTATATAGAGCAACTTCGTATTGTTGTTTTTATATCACTGAAATGTTCATTGTGTAGCCGGACTTATTGGAACGGAGAAGTTTCGTTTTTGTTACGCGCCAAAAATAAAAGAGATGATTCTTATTTGAAATCAATAACAACAATGTTTTCTTTTTTGAAAAATTATTGTGTTAAACTTAACAATGTTCCTGTTGTTGTTATTTTAGTTTTTTTCCAATTCCAGTGTACGAATTTAATTTGTTACCATTATCCAAAAAAAAAAATACATTGCATCTGCCTAAATAAATTGCATTTTTTGGCAACAACAAAAACAATATAATATACAACCCTGCAATTTTAAAGTAGTCAATGTATCCCATTTATATAGTAATTTTTCAAACTTTTAAATACCAGAATATGAGATATGATGATTTTCGGAACAGTTTCAAAGAAAAAACTCAAATTAAAATAGTGAAAACACATAAAATATTAAAAAAATTAAATTGTTAATTTTGTTTGACTTGAAGTGTCAAATTAAACTTAAAAACTCTTTTTTTTGTTTTTAATTTTATTAATTAAGAACTTTATTAAGAACTTTATTGTTCATCTTCAGGAAAAATATTTATTTGCAATCGGTTCTTTATGTTTTGTTCTTCTATAACTAACTCATTCTTGCGGGACAGTCTTCCAGAACTGTTGGGTAATTATAAGAATTTAATATTCAAAACCAACGGTTGATTAGCAAAATAAGTACAGTGGTTAGTGAGTTCAAAAGTAATAACAAATTACTGTGGTACAAATGCGTCAAATGATTAAATAGAACACAAATAATAAAAGATTTTTTTTAATGGAAAACAAGTAACGCCTTGAAAATATTTTTTTTGTACCCTTCACCTTTTTGAGAAGAGTATTATAAAGTTTATCATTCCGTTTGCAATTTCTATATACATTATTTACCGACCCTATACTGTATATGTATGTATATTCCGAGTCTTTATAGATAGCTAAGTCGATTTAGCCATGTCCGTCTGCCGGTCCATATGTAGGTTTAAATCAGTTTTCTGAAGACCCCATATATCTACGATATCAAAATCTTCAATAATTCTATTAGACAAGCTTTCGAGATTCTTGATAAGTTTTTTTCAGAAACCATAGCAGCTATTTCTATCAACGATGTTCTTCTTTTCCATTATCCAAGGATTAACTTAGTTAAACATTATTAGAATATAGCTCCCATACAAAATAATAATACAAATATGTGGTCCACGGGACAAGCTAAAGTACTATATAGTGTCGCAAAATTATATTGAGGAAATTACAAATGGATTGAAAAACAGCAGTGACTGTGAATTGGAAAACATTTAAAATTGTATAAAATTAGGTCATAATTTTTTGGATAAAGAGCTTCCATAAGAGGTCCTCCCCAGAAAATTATATTTATGTTTATAATTGACATAATACTAGTAACACAATCCAAAATAGAAAAAAATTGCTCTATCAATTTCCGTGACAATTATTCAATATTTGGTCTGCTCTTATAGCAATTATAGAGTATTATATAGTCGGGCATGATCGATTTGTCATGTAAATGACTATTTTTCGTAGAGTCAACTTATCTACGAAAAATAGATAACAAGCCCAAAATTATTCAAAATAAATAAAGCGATTTCTAGCATTCAAATTGTTTCCCTGTCAATTTGTTTTAAATTATATCACCTACCTCTCTATAAATTCCTTATTGACCTGAGACATTTTTCCCAAATACAGTCTTACATTTTTGGGTTGCATTAGTACCGGATTGACTGCTGATCTAAATGAGCCCCACTTTTCACCATGTCTAAAACGAAAATCAAATATTATTCATTTCGAAAACATTATTCCGACTTACGTTGCCAAAAGTCCCTCAGTTCCTTGAAAATAATCTGCTCTATATACACTACGATGATAGTTCAAAGCCTCTAATCCCACTCTTTTGGGCCAAATACCCTCGTTACGTAGAAGTGTTTCAAAATCTTGAACATTATGTGTAAAAACAATGTCCGTTTGACCAAATGAACCGGGTATTTTGCAAAAACTACCCAAATCTTCTCTTAAGGCCATTAAGAATTGTGTTGTATCTAATTTATGATATTTGCCACCTGGTAGAAAATTTCTTATTAGTGTAAAACTACTCATAGTGGGAATCTCTTCGAAAGGTTTGGCCGATTGCCATTCAGAGCTAAAAGTTGACTTGATGTCATCGTCTGGCTCATTTAAGGTAGTGGAAATAGCAGATCTAAGTCTCAATTGCTAAATAGACAATATAAATTATTTCGATTCAAATATTGTAAAAGTTTTTAATTTTACTTACATTTATTTGCGGTTTTAGATGACAATTTTTATTTAGTAGTAAATTTGTGTGTTTTGTCAAATCTAAATAGTTTAATTTATAACAATAATTTTTATATTTAAACATTTTAGTTAAATTTTTGTTTATATAAATAGCTAATTTCTGAGCAAATAAACAACTTGTTTGTAGGAACAGATTCGTACTAAGGTTGTATGTTTTTTAATGAGCACATAAAAGTATATCGCTGTTAGCGATAAAAAGCTTTTTTCTTTGTTGTCTATTTTTTGTTAAGATCACTTTTCTCTCTGAGAATGTTTATGGGGGTTTAAGAGAATTATAAAGTTGTGCGGAGCATTTCTAGTTATGAGATTTTCGCATATGTACTTATCTATTTCTCTGTGTTAGTATGTACTAAGCTTTAGTGAGAAATATCACATCTGCATCATATGAGCAAAAAAGAGGTTTTAAAATTAGATTTTTTTGTATACAAATTTGATCAGAATTATAATGTAACCCTGAATTCATATTGCTGATACGAGGTTTAAATAATTTTAACCGAACATCTTTTATATAAATACAAATTTAAAATTTCGTGATCCCAAGAAATGTCTATGGATCTCTACTTGGAGTATCAATAGATTCACTCCTTTTTTAGGATTCTTTTATTAGAGTGTTATATTCGACTATGCCGAATCTTATATACCCACCATCAAACCGTGTGCTGTAAATGGAATGCTCCCCTACAAACATTAGGTTGATATTTAAACCATGAACATATATTGGGGTCAATTATAAAATTTGGCAGAGAGATTTTGGCTTGTATGAAACTTACATACTTCTTAATATCGAATTTCAGCGTTATACTCATATTTTCAAGACATTAGTGAGCGTTAAAGTCATTTTCTATGGGGAGTAGAGTCAATTGTGGACCGATCCTCATAACATTTCAAAGTAATTTTCTATGGGGGGTTGGGTAAATTATGGACTGATACTCATAAAATTCGGTAGATTTCCTATGGAGACTATGCGAAAATGGGGACCCATATTGCCCATTTTCAATACTAAACAAACCTTACCTATAAGAAATATTTGTGGAAAATTTCTCTAGCTCTTTTCACTCAATCGTGCTTTCAATGGACAGACAGGCGGACGGACAGACAGATCGTCTTAGAATTTAATAAGGACCCAGAATATATATACTTTTGTGGATCAATATTTCGATGTGTTACAAACGGAATGACAAAATCAATATACCCCCTATCTTTTTTGATGGTAGTGAATATAAATATTACTTATTGAACCTGGAGTTTACGATATTCGTGACAGTATTGAGCAAATATCTGTACAATTTGTACTAAAAGTACTCTCAGAGAAAAAAGAAAAAGAACAAATTAATTTCATCCGAAGAGAAGTTTTAGTCATTGAAACACTCTCAATTTTAAGGTTAAGTCCATATATGTATAACATATACTAAATCAGGGTAGGACAGGGCTGACCATATGATACTCTACACTAGTTTCAATAAAATATTTACATTTACCTTAATTTTATTGTTCAAAAACTAATTTCCTTTCTATGGGAGTTAGGTTCAAGTATGAATCAAATGAGACGCAATCATTTCAAATATCGGCAGCATAATTTTTCTTATATAGTTATGACAATTTCGGTAGAGATCTAGTATATCATTTCAAATAATTCATCTATAGTTAATAGTCAAATAGTTTAGGGCACTAAAAGTCGGGTTATAGTTGATAGATGATTCGAGATACTAAGGATCTGTTATATGTATGATAATTACTTTTATTTGACCATCAGACAGAAATCTAGAGCAAATCATAAACACTATATGATACTTTTTTTTATTGCTCCCAGGGAGATTTTTCCTCGGTGAACCGCCTTGGTGTTATTTCAATCCTGGGGAATAGAGGTAAAGAGATCAATTGACTCGCGGTTTGACCAGAAAGCATATCTTATCTGGTATTACAGTTTGTGGCCCGCAGGATTTGTTCTGTACTGGCTATTAGTAAGGTCCTTTCTGGGTACAAATAGTGATTGTGGTAGCAACCTAAATCGCGCAATGATAACAGTGGTTAAGAAATTTATATTTCGGGATAATTTTTTGGCGATATTGCCTATTTAATAGAAGTCCAAAGGTGATTTGATATCACAAGAGCAGGAGTGAGACAGGGGTGCGTGAGCCCTCACATCCTTTTGAATGTGTTCGATGAATGTATAGGATAATAGGTATTGTTCTTGTGTTGTTTCTTTCTTTGTTTGGGGTTGTATCGCGGTTTACGCTGTCCATACCTGACCTATCGCAGAGTGTCAGCTGTTAATAAGAAAGCGACGGGGATTGTTTATGAGTATGAGAGTGGATTCAGATATGTTTAGTAGATTTCCAAACATTCCGTAGCTCGAGCAAAGTACTTCTACAAAATCAAGCGTGTACTTTGCAAGACACAAATAAGGGGAGGAGGAGTCGTCTCTAGCTCAGCCTGTATTTAAAAAAGACCAACATGAGATTAGATCATCGAGGCAGACTTGGGATCATACTTCGGTCTACCAAATTCGTCTTTAGGTGCTCAAACAACAGATGTCAGCACAGCTTTGTGGTTGAGTATGAGGTTTAGACGATTTCTAAACATTCCGTAACGGAACTGCAATAGTAAGAGGTAAGATAAGGAGAGGTAAGTACAGGGTCAGGCGTCTGCCATGTACAAAAATTGCCCGCGTGTCCTTTGAAAGACACAAAAGGGCAGTGATGAGCTGTCACTAGCTCAAACTGTGTTTGAAAAAGACCAACATGAGATTAGGCAGTCGAGGCAGGCGCTCACTTAAACCACTCCAGGGTTTAAATTCTCTCATATTAACAATAAAATTCCTATTTAGTTAAGAATTCTTTTGCTATAATAAGTTGAGATTTAGACAATAATGAATTTCTTTTAATATTCTGAAATTGAATAGGAATACGAACTTAAAAACTTCATGAAGTAAGCACATTTTGGAATTAATTCAATGCAGGAAGTTCTTTAATCAATATCATATCAACATTGTAGTCGAGCTTTAAACAAATCAAGTATAGGGATATCCATTTGTGTAAACCATACTTATATCAAGTTTTATTTTGATTTAATTTCGAAATAAAAAAAAACACTTAATTTCAGATAATAATAAAGATATAAATATTTTTTTTATTACACAATAATTTCTTGTAAAACTATAATTCGATATATATATATTTTATATTTTTGTTCGCAAACACCAATAATAATTTGATTTTCATTTAATGGTTTAAATTTAATATTAATTCAAATAAACATAAATATACACAATAAAAATAATAATAATTAAAGTAATAATAATAATGATATAATAGAAATAATGATATATTTTATAATATTTTTTTTTTATAAAAATAATTAAGTATTACAATTAAACAATTTTCTGTTTTTGCTCATTTCTGAGAAGGCAATTTTTTTTGAAAGTAAGTTTCAATTCTTTTTGCTATTTTGTAAAAAATATTAATTAATTAAAAACTACAAACGAAAAAGCAAAACAAAATGAAAATTTAAGAATTAAATATTTCAAATTTTAGCGAAGAAATTTTGAAAATTTGGCACACGCTACAAAAGACTTTAATTAAATTAACAAAAATAAAAATAAAAACAAATAATTATAATTAAATATTAAAGACAATGTTTAAGCCTTTTGAAGCGACAAATGAAATTAAATTTTATTTGTTATTAATTTTCTTAATCCTGTTGTTTGTTCGTATGTTGTTGTTGCTGTTGTTCTTGATAATTATTTATAATTTTGGCGGCATCATTCATTATTTTAGCCGTTGAACGTACTAAAAACATTAAATGACATTCATCGTATACCGTTAGTTCTACCCGAGTGCGCACCAGACCATGTAGTACTGTGGCACGTTCCAAATCCAACCATCTTTGTAAAGCGGTTTCACGCTCTTTTACCGAACCGGTTAAGGCCACATCGGAGGGACCCCATAAAATGAACTCCAAAACAGATTTTGATTTAGAAAGAGATTCTGATCTTTCTTGCAGTAAAATGTCTGCTAAAATGGGTGTAATTTTGGTGGTAGGCAACATTTCGGTTAAGGCCACATGGGCACATTTGCACAAGGTACCCATGGGTTCATCCTCATCGTTATTATTGCTGAAAGGAGAAAATTCAAAGAAATAATAACGATTTCTTTCCTTGTAATCTAGGTGGCTTTACTTACCCCTGCAATACACATAAACGGGCCTGGGCATCTTTATTATCGTATTCCTTGGAAAGCACCACATTCGATAGACTTAAAGGCATTTCTTCTACTGCTTTAACTTGCAAATTCTTCATGCCATTTATCAATTGCAACATAATGAAAGCCACTTCACGAGTCATGACATCATCAAAAGCTGGTATACCATTTGAGCTGCTGGCCGCTTCACCATCCTCCGTATAAACCTTATCAGCTGTTTCTTCATTTAGGGTACTCAAGTTTTGCACCGACATGCCATTTCTCATGTTATTAACACCACTGGCATCTTTCAAAATATTCAGATTGGGTATGGAACCACGGAAATTGAAATTACTTTTGTCTAAGACTTGAGATTTACCCTTCAATATGGCGCCTATCGATTGCAAAGTATCCATTTGAAGGCGTGGCAATACCGATATAGTGGCTTGCAACAGAGTCATTTCTGTGGTTGGCATTAATGGCAAATGATAACAGGGCACTACATCACAAAATTCGGTAATGGGATTTAGAGCACCCGATACACCGCCCGATAATTGATTAAGTTCTCCGCCCACACCAGCCAATTGATTGCAATCGGCTGAAAGGGCCAAGGTAACGGGAGCAGTGGTCCATATAGCTGCATGGAAGGCCTTTTTACCCACCACAAACGCCTGAGCACCCTCTAGTATGGTGAAATCTTCGAAGCGCAAATTGATGGCATTGGCTAAAGGTCTTAAAGCGGGTGGTATAACGGGGGTTTGTTGGAGCTGTAATGAGAAAGTAAAACATTAAACTTGAGCAAATATAAAGCTATGAAAAAATTCCATTTACCTGTTCTAAAACTTGTGCTAAAGCTTCATGATTAGCACCCACTACAGCGGAATAATTATCTTCTATAGTTTTGTGGACCACACTGCGTCCCTTGCGCATGCGTAAACGGTTAGTAGTTTTGGCGCGATTTTTAATGC